GACGGGTGCTGGCGACAGGTGCTGGCGGCTCCGGCAGGCCGCGGCCTCCGGTGACCTGATGGCGGGTTGCGATGCAGGGAACGCCATGCTGCGCGCGATGAGGTGCGCGAGTTGCTGCGCAATGAGCGATCTCAATTCTGGCGGCTGAGCCGCGCGGCTGTGCGTGGCGTCCTTCACACGACGAATCGCCCCCCGTCGCCTCGGAAGCGTCGCTCGGGGTGTCTCCGCGACGAAGGGCCAATGCGGCGTCCTGGCGAGTCCTGTCGGGATGTCATCAAGGGGACAACGAGGTATCATCGACCCTGGGGGACGGGCTTTCACCCAGGGGCTGAGGATGCCCCTCACATTCGCCTTTATCCGAGGTCGCCTGTTTTTCCCCTCTGTCCTGACGGCTGCCCTGTTGTTTCCGCGCATACAACGCGCCCCTTCGCGTCATGGGAATGCTTTTCCTTTCCTTAGTGTGGAGCCCATCAAGTGGCACAGCGCGGTTGTCCGCTGGACCAATCATTGTGTGCAAACCAGATTGATACAACGAGCACTGGTCACTGGCAGCCGTTGCACGGTTCGCTATCGTGAAGGAACTGATTTCCCTAGGAGCGGGGCAGAATGCTCAACATTTCCTGCAAGATGTTATAGGGTGCAGATGGGCAGTTTACGTAACTGGGATTGTGGAGAGTGGACAAGCATACGCCATATGCTGCGTCGCCTGTCGTCGCCGCAAGGTGCAAGCGCTGAGATTTTCAATGACCCGTGGACAGTTGTAATCCGTGCTGTTAGACTGAATGGTGAAAAGCCATGCAAGGTAGTTCTATTCAAGGCAGATTTGCCCCAGCAAAGTCAATCTCCTTCTGTTGGAGGGCTGCAGTGATGCCAATGCTTTTGATACAGCTGCATTGAGTCTCAGATTGTGGGGCCACAGATTGGCGCTGACGGCATTGAATGCGGAGGGCATTGAGGGACTGTTGCGGTGAACTTCAGATCATGCAGGATATCAAGGGCGCAAGGGCAAAGGAGCAACGGGCATACTGTTGCACATGCAGCCAAGGCAGCCAGAAGGATGCTGACAACTGAAGTGTCCTCAGGTGGTTTAGTTAGACTGGTCCGATTTCAGCATCAGGCAGACATTGGCAAAGTTGTGGGAGTACATTCTGTTACCAGGTGGCCCAACGGCAAAGTGCAGCAAACTGGGCACCAGTCCAGTTGACGATGGGGCACACGAGGAAGAAAGTCGCTGTCCAGCTTGTACGTTCTCAATTGTGGTAGCAACAAAAGGGATCCATTCGTTTCGAATGGGCATCACTGACATGCACAATGTACTTCAACAAGATTTGTCCTTTAGGAAGCTTGGTTGAGTGAGTGCAATACACATGCCTCCAGCACGTGTCTGCTACGACACAGCAATGATGACCATCAGGCTGCTCAACTCGTTTTACGTCTTTCCTCACGAGTGCGGGCATTCACAATCCCCCAATGCTAACATATCTAGTACATCGTTGTGCGTGGGCTATGGAGCCACTGTTGTGCATTGGAATCCCACATACTTCTGATGAAAATGGTCACAATTCCATGTTGCTGCCACAAAGGTTAGGTTTGACGATTTAGGACATTCAATGTGGCCGCCAAGTAAAGGGCTGACAAAGAGTGGCAGACCTTCTGGCCATGGATGGCGTGCATCTCACAACATATTGCGGGATCTCAGCCCAATGTCCACAATTGCTGTTGGTGAAGAAATCACTGCGGAAGTGGGAAGTCTGTTCTTAGTAACTTTGCTGCAGAGACTGACACAACTGTGTGCTCGGTGGTTGTTAGGTGAGAGAATGACAATTGAGCATTTTTGTCCAGCATATTGTCAAGTTGACGTCCAGAAACGGGAATGGTATGCACACCAAATTCTGCAGATTGGTTGTCACAACAGTCAAGACAAACAAAGCATTGTGCAGGCGATGCCGGGCAAAGAGATCTCCATTCATAGTTCCTCTAATTTCGCAAAAACTTATTTCCTCAGCCAGTTGTACAATATGGAAAAGGACGGCAGAAGATGCCTCAGCCATAAGCCAAGAATTCAGGTACGTGCCTCTACATCGACATGAGTCATGTAACATAAAAAAGGCAAGCCAAAACAACCCTGATCTGTCCAGCAAGGTGCCCACAAGATTTCATTCTTTCAACTGGCATCTACGGATGACAATGTGGAACTCGTATTTCGGCATTTCCGCACACAGAATTGGTGCACGTGCTGTTGCCGCTAAATGCACATGTAGTGAAATCCATCAGAAATGGGGTGCAAGGTCATGGTGCCGATCCATTCCCATCTGAGAAACGTGCTGGCTCGCACGAGCTAGACTGTGGCATCGTAAAGATTGACGTCTAGGATGGAATAGAAGGGTGCATGGGTGTGTGGGTGGGACTCTAGCGCCAATTTCTCGTTCTGCATGGCAAAATTGGCCCAATGGGTCCCCAAACAGGCCCATCCATTTGCACGCCAATACAACGCCTTTCACTCTCCGTGCAATTCTCTTTGAAGGGCAACAGAACTTCCTTCACAATTCAAGTGCAGGCCAAGCGCGCGACACATCTACACCCGAATTGGGTGCGCGCTCGCCAACATCATCTGATGCACTGGCCAGCCCGAAGCACTAAGCCCGCCGGGGGCACACCACCCGTTGATGCTGAGCGCCCAACATCCACCGCGCGGCCACCTCGGGCCCCCAACAACGCGAATTGCACCGGGGCGGAATGTCCCGGGGCTAAGTCCTCGAACACAAGGCCGCACGTCAGTGTCATCGACTCGATGGATGCCGCGTCAACGTTCGCGCACACAGCCCAGATGAAGGGCGGCAGGAGTCGAGGGTGGCAACCCCTGGGGGAATCGTAGGCCTGAGCGCGCGGCAACGGATCGCAGCGGAGCGCCGTGTCTCTCGAGGCTCAGCCCCCCCAATACAAGGTTATATACGTCAAGGTCACTGACTTGCGGCCGTATGAGGGCGGCCGCCCAACACTCCCAAATGTACTAGACGTGGACCCAAAAAACGCAGAATCTGACCGGCTGATCCCCCCCTCCTCCGCCACGCCCTGCCCCCCCGTGAATCAAGATTTCAGGCCCCGGCCGCCGCTTCCCCTTCCCACGTGGATCCAGTCAGCCGTCCCCGCCACCCACCATGGCGGACCACGGGGCCCACCCGCCCCCATCACATCTCGCCGCGCAGTACATTGCGCCAGTGTCGCCCCAGATCGCGCCCGGGCCCCCGGACCCCGGTGGATTCTCCCCCCGCTCAAGCGGGCTGCCCACCACACAACTTGGCCGCGGAGTGCGCCGCCTCGCGCCGTCTTTAGGCGCCACTTCGCCACCAGGAGCCCTTTTCCGACAAGGGGCCGCTGCACGAGTCGAGGACTCGGCCGGGGTGGGCGCCTCGCGGCCTTGCGGCGCATGCGCGGCGGCCGGATCGCCGCGGGCGCGATCCGATCGTCGCGGTCGGCGGCCGAGCGCTGACGGGCGCTTCTCGCTTCGCCGACGGGGCGCGAGTTTCTGCGCCGACGGCGCGGAGGGAAGGAGGGGAGGAGGGATTCGGCGGAGGGGGGAAGAGAGAGGCGATCGGGCGATCGGCGGATCGCGGTGGGTGGCCGACGACCGGATCGGCGGGGGGGTTCCGCTCGCCGCGCCGGATTTGAAAGGCGCGTCGACGCGGCGAGGTTGGAGGGCGGCGAAGCGATTTTGGAGCTTGGGGATCGCGGGGAGGGGTCGCATCGGAGGGCGGGCTGCCTGGAGCGCTGCGCGGACTGGGCGCCTGCGGCCGGCGATGGCGTGTCGGTTCGGCAGAGCGGCAGCGCCTGGAATTGGGAAGAGTGCCGCGTCGACTGTTGCAGACATTGTAAGAGGGGGTTGGGTGGCTTTGCGAGGGGCGGCGTGGGGCGCGTGGGCGGGAGGGACAGGCGGGCTTGCGCGGGGTCCTTCGCCGGTCCCCGTCTCTCCCCTATGGCGCCCCCGCCGCCACGGGGGCCGACGATTGCGACTAGGGTTCGGTCGCCGCCGTTCGAGGCACGGAAGGCGGCTCTACCCGCTCGCGGGCGCCCCATTTTCAACCTCGGTGCTGTTGGTGGCCGCGCTTCAAACAGTATGGACACGCTCCTGCTCTCGGTGTCGTCTTTCCGGCATCCTAAAACAGAATTGAAAACTCGCGTCTTGTCGACGCGCGCCATCGCGCGCTCGCGCGTCCCTATGGGTGTCTGCCCGCCTCCAGAATCGTTTTGCGGGTCGCGTCGCGCTATCGCGCCGCCCCCATCGGCCGCTCCGCCCAGCCGTGGCCAAGCCATGCCACCTTAGGCCGCCAGTCGGCCTTCCCCACACGTGCGCCTCCCTGACTGACACCTTTTGTCACGCCCCCGCTGACCAAAGCGCGCTCCCTCCACTTAGGGGAGGGCCCCGCGGCCCCCTGTGCCGCTTCGGGTTTGAGTAAGGACCGGGTGTCAGACCTGGGGTCCTGGTGGGAGCCCCTTGGCGGGCTCTTGTTGAGCGGGACCCAGCGAAGCACCTCGCGAGCCGTGGTCGAATGGCTAGAGGCGGGAAATAATTCGCGGGTCGATCCGTGGATGGCGGTCCGCGCGCTGTCCGCGGTCGCTGCGCGTGGCGATGGGCAACAATGTTTCTTCGATTGGGATGTCCCGATGTGTCTGGTCCCCCCTTGTCCTCACAATTTGCCAACATGAGCGGCAGCGCAATTGGCAGCGATTGGCGCGGCGAACACGAGGTTCTTATGGGGACTGTCGGCGCTTTCCCACCCTTGTGACTCGATAGCCAAACGCAAGTGCCCGGGAATGGCCTTGCAACGCTCGGGGGGCTGCCTGAACAAGGATTTGTATTGTTATGGCAAGGGCACGAATGCTCTTTGCCCCAAGGTCCCTGCCCATTTGTCCAAACAGCTCAGCGCGCCCCAGGCCTGCCCACAAGCAAAAACGCGGTTTCACACGGCGATCTTTTGCTGCATCACACAGGAACACCGGCCATGGGTTCCACCGAGGTGGCTTGCAAGACGGTGCTGCCGCGTAACTGCAGCCTTGAAGACCTCCGGCAGCACTCGCTGAATAATGGCGGCTGCCCAGAGAGCAAACCCATGGATGGACAGCAGAAGAGTGCTCACAGCCTGCAGGCAATCCCGCCAAGCCAAGCGAGTTTTGCACCCAACTCGTGTGGGTTGCCCTATCCCGTGCCCTATCCTTATGGCCCACCGGGATTTGGGTTTGGCATGATGCCACCGTCAGGGTTTCCCTGCTGGCCTGTGGGCCCAATCGGTGGCCAGCAGCAAGTGAGCGCCCCGCAACAGCAGTCTCAGGCACCACAGCAGATACAGCAGGTGCAGCAACAGCGCCAGCAGCAGCAGTGCCAGCAGCAGCAGTGCCCTGTGCAGGACAAGAAAAAATCGAAGATGGGAAAGGAGGAGGCGGGGGAAGATTTTGTGACCAGCTGTTTGCTGGACAAGCCTGTGGACGAGCTGCCTGTTGTGGTGAGTGCAGCTCCCACTCTGCCCCCTCCTCGTGCGTTGGCTGTCCGCGACCCAACGGCCAACAATGGTCAGGGACAGTGCCAGGAGAACTGGGCAGATTCCGAGACGACTCAAAAGAAGCAGGTGGACATTGCTGGAAAGGAGCAGTCCCAGGCCTTGTTACAACCAGTGGTTGTGGAAGCAGAAAGAGAGGGCGGGCAGGACAGCAGCGATGTGGCAGCGGAGATGGTGCTGAGGACTGGTCTTCAGGCCCCAAAACAATCTGACAGAAGCTGTGCGAATGGTGCGCACTCTGAAGACGATGGTGATGCCTCTGGTGTACAATGCGAAGGTGCCAGCATGCTTACCTCACCAGACGCAGAAAAGGGAAGCTCCATGGAATCCCAGGTGGCCCCTGAGGGAGGTGCATCTTGTGCCTCTCCAAGAGCTGACAATGCCAGTGCAGCAGGGGAGGATGTGTCAAACACGAATGTGGAAGTGGGTTGCGAGCTAGCGGCAGGCAGCAAGGTAGACAAAGACACCAGCCCTGACGCAGGGGCATTGCCAAAGGCCGAAGTGGGCCACAGCTTGCAATCACCTGGAGATGGAATGTCTGCGAGCTCAATATCTGCTGCTGCAGCCAGCAGCAGGCCGGAATCAAAGAAGAGCTGTGCTGTGGGCTCTGCTTCTGCACCTGCCGCACGTGGCACAGGGGGACAGGAGGTGGCAGGACCCAAGGCTGCGGCACCTGTGACGCCGACGTCGCCTCCCAAACCTGGTCCCTTGCCACCCCTTCAACGATCGCACACCAGCCCTGGCAGCCTGCGCTCTGCCCTGGGCGTATCTGGACAGAACATGCAGCCCCCTGCCTGCCCATTTCCCCCAATGGTTGGGCTGCAGCGAGGGCTGGTGCCAATGCCAGGGTCAGGCTCAGGCCTGCCTGGCCTGCTGCCATTCCCTGGAATGTTTCCAGGCCAGGGCATGCCACCATGGTATGCGCCGTTTGGCCCGCCACTGCAATTGCCTGGCACAATGCATGGGCCCATGCCTGGTACTGTGCCTGGCGCTGCGCCTGGTGCCTACGGGTTTCTCCCCAACCCTTTGGTGGGTCAGATGCCATCGGTTGGGGTTGGAGTGGCCCAGGGCTTCCCTGTGAGCCCAGGGCCGGTGCCATTGGGGCCAATGGGCCATCTGCAGGCCACAGGCATGCAGGCATCCGAGGGCATGCGGAACTTGATGCTTGGGCTTGTCCCGGTGTCTTCTGGGAAGGAAACCGCGGGCGCAGGTCCTTCAGGGGCCCTCGGCGGTGACACAGACAAGGCGAGCAAGAAGAAGGTGAAGCTGTCAACAAGCTGCCCCTCCCTGGGTGTGCTGGCAGGAAAGGGGCAGAAACGTCCTCGGAAGGCCAAGAAGCCGAAGGCCCAAGGCCCCAACGCTGCCAAGGAGGCCCTCCAGCTTGCTGGTGCATCTAGCAATGTTGTGGCACGTGGGGCTGGCTGTGGGCTGGAAAAGGATGCGTCAGGTCTTGTGGTGGATGTGGGGGCCGCGTCCCTGCCCGTGCCAGATGGGAGTGTCCTGGGGAAAGGGGAGTCTGAGGGGAAGGCAGGATCTTCGGCTGTGGAGGAGATGCAGAACAATGACAATCTGTCGATTGCGCAGAGGCGTCCAAAGAGAGTGCCCGGGGGCAACCCCCTGCAGGTGAGGGTCATCGTCCTTGCTGGAATGTGCTGCAAATAGATTATGCTCTCATGGCCTTGTTGACGGTAGGGCAGTCAATGGTCAGGTTTTGCAAGATGTGTGTTGAAATCAATGGACTGATGTAAAGCTCATTTCTGGCAGGCATTCCACAAGAAATGTTGGAATTTGCAGAACCTCTGCTCAGGGGTGAAGGAATGGCATGCCTGACAGTGCGGTGTGCCAGCACATGTTTCATGATCAGTGCCATCCTATCAGCAAAGATGCCCACCATGTAACGCCTTAATGTCATTGGTCACAGCTGCTGGCAGTGCCATGCTTTTTTGCCAATATTGTGAATTGATGCTCAACTGTTGCTTTCTTGCAGATCGAGTCTGTTTGCCGACTGTGCGACATGATTCGGAACAATTCCACTGAGTTTGAGGCACAGGGCCGCATCCTTCGCCTGAAGCAGTACTTGAAGGCTGACGCCAGGCCAAATGTGATGAACTCTGTGCTGGAGGCCCTGAAGGAGAATACCCGGGTGGAGGCCCTGTATATCCAGAACTTTGAATGGGTAAGGGTTACTGGTCACTTGCAGGATACTGGCCAAAGAGCGTGGTTCTCGTTTCTCTGAATCCGGAACAGAAAATCACATTCAAAATCACACTGAAAACCACATTCAAGTGCTGTCCTTGTTCTGGCACAAGGACCGCAACTTGTCCTGCAGGAACTTTCCCTCAATTGCATGTGGTAAATAATACACAGCACAGAACACATTAATATGGATTGCAAACCAGCTCTCATTTGTTGGCAACTAGCAGATTCGATGCCAGTGGCTGCTGCTCCTGTCATGCTGGGAATCTGTGGTGCAGCAAGTTGAATCCAGGCAGGCCAGTTTCAAATGCATTGGCGGAGACACCACGCTGCAAACAAGCTTGCCCCTCCCCAGACTGTTGGCGTGGATGAAGCGTCTTATTCGCCAATGTCGTGTCTCTACCTTGCAGGGCATGTACGACGAACAGCTGGAGCTGCTGGCTGATGTGCTGAAGCAGCGGCGAATATGGGCACTCAATGTTGGAGAGAACTTCCACACCAGTTTGCAGGCGTGGGAGGCTTTTGCAATGGAACTTGCACACACGGACGTTGCTTACTTGTATGTCAGCGAGCACCACCTGGTGCATACCAACCTCAAGAGCAAGATGAGGGACATAATTCGAGTTAACCGCAAGTGAGTAGCATGTTCAAGGCAGAATCTGGGAGGGAGGGAGAGGTGCATACACTTGCTCAGTCACTGTAGTTGGTATGAAGTGTACCTTTCTACTGGTTGCGATGGCACATGTCAGTATCATACCCTTACTCATGATTTGTATCCTATGCCGGTGGTGCTCAGATCTTACCTTCATTGCGTCCCCCAAACTAGGTTATCATGCAGTTTTGAGATTGATCCAAACACGGAGGTGAGCATTCCATGGATCGCATGTTGCCAGAGTGCAATTGCACGTTGTGAAGCCAGTCTTTTTGCCAAATCATGCTCGAAATCCTTGCAAAGTGCAAGGACCCTTGTTTCTATTGGCCATCAAAAGTCGATCGATGTCAACTGCACTTTGCATGCGTTTTCTACCTGTGCCTGCAAACCTGCACTGAAAGCATCGTTGCATGCGTCCAGACGGGCCCCTGCCAGAGACCCTGAGGTGATAGCGAACATCAAGAACATGTGGTTCAACCCCAAGCTGCCTGGTGTAAAAAGAGCTGACTGGAGTCCGTCGCTGGCCAGCGACCTGGATCCCGACTGGGCCTGCGGGTTGGAGCCTGAGGAAGGCGTCCCAGAGCTTGGAGAAGACCTCAGCCTCACCAAACAACAGTTGGCTGGAGTGCAGAATAGGCACTTCGCAAGAATGCCCGTACCAAGACAAGGTGCAACAGCACATATATGCAGACTCTGTCACTGGCTCACAGGAAGATTTCTTGTTTTACTGCATCCATTGTCAAGGGACACAGATGCTGGAGAACCACCTGCGAAAGTGTGTCATTGGTAGCTTGTGCTACTGCCTGTTGGGGGCCCATTACATAATGGACACAAGAGCACAGTGGTTGTCAGCATTGCCACCAGATTGGACAAGCGTCCCTCAACATTTAGTGCTTCCATTGTTGAAGAAAACCTGAAAATTGTGCGTATGTGGAGGACAGGCAACATTAACAGAAGAAAAGCCAGCCAGCGCCCGATCCAACACAGCGAGGCACTCGTTCTTGGTGCCTGTATTGAATGCCTGTGGTAATTGTAGGTGCGAGTGGCCAACGTCGAACCACGACGCTGAGGGCCAAAAGGTTGCGGGGGCGGAAGAGCTTGAACAAGCAGAGGCAAGCGCACCTGAAGGCGTCAGCGACTGGTCTGCAGTCAAGGTCTGGTGCGGGATCTCTACTGCCAGGGTCGCGTCGCGTGAAAGCAGGGGCAGCATTGTTTGGGACCGAAGGGTCAGGTTCCGGGGCCGGCTCGGAAGTTATCCAAAGAATTGGATGTACCAAGAGGGTGGTGGCAAGAAAGGGCAACTGGTCTCCTGTGAGTTCCAATGGAATGAGATTGAGATCGAGTGGAAGGAAACGCGTGTGGCACCTGAGCAAGGTGAGTGAACCCCTTTGCTGTTTCCTATGTATGCACTGATGCACAATGTCCCGTCGTTGTTTCCCTCTGCAGAATCCATTCCCAAACACACTCCTGCACTTGTGTTCACACAGGCGTTGGGACATGCCCAGGCTTTTTGTTTGTCAAAGACACCACTCTTTCAAAGCAAGAAAGGCAGACCAATGAAAGCGATGGGAAAACATGCCTGGAGAAGTGTGCCGAGGCTGAGGCCTTGCTTTTGCATGTTGTTCATGGCTTCACATCGGCGAACGGGCAGGTGCTGCCATCTTCTGACCAGTGCACTCATGGCTGGCTTACACTGGCATCACACTGCTTGAGAGACGGTATTCACTTGACTGTACAGGCACCGAATTCCCCATCTGTTGTTGATGGGCTAGCCCCCAAACGGCGTTGTGTGGCAGAGGCGAGGTTGGACGACCTGCACGAAGCCGGGGAGCCAGAGGAGTGCGTAGTCACTGGGCACACGTGTCCCCACAAGAACGAGGGCGGTGGGCGTGCAACGTTTGCTGATGTGGTGAATGCTGGGCTCATCTGTCCAGGGAAGTACAGATGGACGGTGGGCCAAGATCAGTCCGTTGAAGTGGACATCAGCAACGACGGTGAGCGCAATAGTGTGCCACCCGTGTGAGGCATTCTATGGTTCAGATGTATCTGCAGTGCTGCGAAGCTGGCTGTGGCCCACGTTTGCATATCTTTAAAGAATTACCGAATGGATATGTGACTTGGATTTTTCTTCTTGCTGAGTTACAATGGCAAGCACAAGATGTGGACCGCAGTAAGATGGGTGTTGTCGGCTGCTGGGTGCTTCTGGCGAACGTCCCAACGGGTGGCACGTATTACCTTTTATGGTTTAAACCGTTGCCGGCCTTTGATGCACCCACTCTGAGACCTGTTGCTTGTGCCATCGCGCAGGGGCCATCCTCTACAAGGACGCCGACTACTGCTCGATATCAAGTTTTGCATTGTCAGTGATACGGGAAAGGAACCCTGGTCGACGGTCGTGCGACGGCTGGAAGGATGTCAAATGGAAGGGCCAGCGGCTGGAGGTGCTGAGGGAGCAGTTCCTGATGCAGCAGCGGGCTTGAGCTGCCGAGGGGCAACCCCTTGTCGAAACGGATGTGCTCCAATCCAGTACATTATGCAATACGGGCGGTGGCACATTTTTCCGGTGCCCTGCAGAGAGTGTGTGGGTTACAGCGCATCTTCTGCCGGTGCTGTGATCGGCGATGTACACTGTGCTTTCTCAGACGTCGTTTTTGTTGGGGGCGGGTTATTTTTTGTTTCTTTGTTTCTTTCCTTCTTTGGCTTTTTGGTTCAGCGCCTTTGTTTTGGGAGCGACGAAAGGAATGCAAGATTGTTTGAACAACGGTTGAATCAGGGCAATGATGACGAGCAAGAGTAGGTGGGCCGAGGGCTTGGGGGGAAGTCGGGGGAAGGGCGAGGAAGGGGACAGTGGTTGCCGGCACTTGTGGTTGGGAGCGGCAATCGACGGTTGGATGGACTGGTGGCATGGCGTCAGATGTTCTTGACTGTGCGCGGCGAGGGTTGGCGCCTGGTAGGGGTAGTACTTCACGTCGTGTTGTGCAATTTACCCATGTTTTGAACTGGCTTAGATACTATTCATGTTTTTATGGCACTAACTTTCTTTTAAGGATTTCTGGGCCGATGACGGCGTTTCTGCTGTTGTTCGGCGCCCCCAGCCAGCTTGCCGATATCGCATGGGAGGCGATGCAGTTGTGTACAACAGGGTCCCTGACTGGGGGCATTTTTCTGGAGGGAGCGCTGGTTGTCGTTGAGTGTTTCTGAGTTTGGGGTGTGTCAAAGTTCCTTAGCCATCCCGGTTCGAGATCCCGCTCGTCGCAATCCAATGGGCGCAGCGATGGGCCACAAGGCAGCACAAGTCAAACCGTTATGGTTCGACCTCCGTGGCAACCTTGGTGCACGCGGTGCTCGAACGCACTGGCCGTGCATGGTCGGACAAGCAGTCAAGACTCAACTTGTCTTACAACCAAACCAAGACAAGCCCTGAACAAGTCTCAGGCTCTCTTTAAATACCAGAACGCGCCTCTCTTTTCGCCAACCAGCACTCACACTCGGAACGCCGGACTGAACTCACACTTCACACATGCACAACGCGCTACCCCACAGCACCGACCCATGTCTTCGACCCACGGCACCGACCCACAGCACCAACTCACGATCACCAAAATTAGTAAGATTGAAGCTCATTGTTAGCCAGCCCTCTTCCCGCCATCTCAATCAGGTCAATGTGTGCACCAGTCAGCCAACACATGAACAAATGCTTGCACAACATGGCAGCTGCGGCCGTCTTGGTGTGTCAGACTTCCATTTAGTATTCACTTCTCTCATTGAGTTTCACTGCACATCGGTGTTCAGCCACCGACCTCCAGTGCTGAAAACTGGAAAGTTGCATGTGAAACATCGAGAAAAGGTGACAGCCATTCAAAGACATTGTTGATGGCATTCCTCGAAACGGGATTCTCATATGCCACCATTTATTCATCGGATTACAAATCAGTAATTGAAGGAGGCAGATCAGTGGTCAATTACTGGCAATTCGAACAGGTCCTGAAGGGAATTCGCTGGTTCGGTAACGGCATGCTCCTTTAGAACGCAGTGCAAGGGCGTATTGATGGGCGTTTGTACTTGGCGGGACACTCTTCCCGCCCGAGTCCACATTGGCCTGGTGCGTTGCAACACGTCCAGGGTGTCCCAATGACGGTCGTACAGAGTTGCCCATGCATCGCGATCTGAACCAAAATACCATTCCCCAGTAATTAGCCCTTCACAGATTCCTCCAGTCGAGCCGAAACACACATGTTTGTGTTGAGCGGGAGAGCACAACAGGGCACCTCGGTCGTTGTGCGCCCCCATAAATAGGGAGGCCCCTGCCGACATGAAAAGCGTGCCAAGACTCCCGAGCAAACGCAGGCCATGGCTCCCTTTTGGACTGAGCCCCAGGTGCGACGCGGATATGAGCAAGTCAACTCGGGTCAACGGAAAAAAAGACGAGTTGTCCATTAGACGAAATGTCCTTAGACCACTTGTCCGTTAGACGAGTTGTCTTTAGACGAAATGGCCGGCACCCCAGGCCAAGGCAAACCCGTTGACTAAATTCGTCCCGCGTCGGGACTCCCGCCCCCTAGAAGCATATGCATTGTGTCATCGGAAGCATAATAGGCTGATTGGTCTGTGGATGCACGGATAGACGGATGGGATGAGAGTTGTACTGATTTCTGGATCGAAGGGTTGTTTCAGATGCCCATTACGCTCATGGATGGCATTTTCGGGATGTTGCACTTCGTTCCTCAGGGTTGTGAAGATGTTCACACACATTTCCTGCCGACCGTCTTGCTGGGCACTCATTGACCTGGTTGCCATAAAGAACACGTGGATTGCCAAAAATGAGATCTGTTTGGTGCATATCGTGTAGGCTGTTGAAGAATGTGGTTCTCATGATTTCATGGTGAGAGTGCTCGCCTTCTGACTCTCCAATATTTTCCACTCATAAAAAATTTCCAAACCACATTCCCATAGAAATTGCATTCATATAATTCTACTCGTCTTTACCTTGAAGGTGCAATATTTGTGCTTCGTCATATGCTTGGCGCTCGACATTGATTATCTGATAGCCAGTTGAGTGCAGTATTTCCGAGAGTTAGGCAACCATTTTGCCCTTCATTCAGGGAGAAAATGATTGCCTAGTTCTCAGAAATACTGCATTCAGCGTTGTGGAACCATGCATCTGGAACAGGGCTGAAGTTGATGCAATGTTGTGGCTGCATTTCCATTGACGAAATGGCAACGACATTTCAGAAATTCACATATGTCAACATTCAAAAGCTTTGATGTGTGACCCGGTACTGCATCAATGCTGATGCACTGGGTCTTGATGCATCACTGTCCTTCGCGCGGCGCTAGCATTGTGCACGTACCATTGCATTAACGTCTACCCTTTTCAGATCTAGAATATCTGGCAGTGCTGATGGTATTCAATCATTGATGAGCCTGATTGAAGCAGCAACACTAAAGAAGTGATTTGACTTTATTACTCATGATGATACTCATGATGGCGCACGGACGAGGAGGTCGCCAGTGTGTAGACGCCGCTGAAAGACCATGCAATGGCGCTGAACTGAAAATAAGGCAGGAAGAGGCTGGAGCGGCCTTCACGGCCTGCAGAAATGACCCTTCGCTAGTTCCTCTTTCATGCCCGCTGATGCGCCGTGTCGGATATGGTAGCGTTGAATGTTACCATCGCCGGCCCCCAGCCCATGGGGCACCAGGCGAGCATCTTCGATGCCCGTGATTGCATTCACATCATGCATGGTGGTTACTGGGCTCAGATCCACAGGACAAGGTGAAGCACGGGGTTTATGGTGCCTCTGGAGTTTTGGAGGATTATAAATTTTTCAAAGCTGCCGAATTGGCGATGGACAGCAAATGCTTGGCGGTGATCAGCAGCAACTTTCGGCAATTGGCACGTTGTTACTGTAGTGCAAGGGAATCGTGACATGGCGGTTAGCAGATGAGACGAAGGAGAGGGCCCACTAAGGAGGAAGGGCGGAGGATGGCGACATGAGCTGACATGGACTACTGCGGATAGGTCGGGAGCATTGACGACATTTGCATGTGTTAGTGGCGTGGTCGGTGCTCTTCCATCAATTCGGGTTTGGCCAGCAATTGCATTGCGTGAGCAAGCGTGATCAGGGGCGCAGCGGAGACTTCAAGCCCAGTGGGAAAGAGAGCATGAAACATAACAAGTTCTACTTTGGGTGAGCAAGAGGACGTCTGGCGGTGTCACACTGTGTTGCACGGTGCCAAGGTCGGGGCTAGCATTTGAGTTGGGTCTGCCATAGCACCACAAAGCAGCCAACTGCCACAAGAACTTCACAGTACCTTCCAGGTGTAGTGAACTTAAATAGTGCCAAGACATCAGAATTGGATTGACTTTTGACTTTTTCAGGATTGAGTTTTGGTGGCGGGCGAATCTCTGAACTTAGCTTCTGTTAGGTGCTCAGCGCATAAAAAACAAAATAGTGTCTTCCTTTAATTGCCACAGTACACTGTGAAGTATTTTAAGAATACACACTGACGCTGCACACATTATAGAATTGCAGTGCCAATTGAGCAAGCCCCATGCCCATCTGCCACGATGCCTTCCGTGCAGCTGAGTGTCCTGCACGCGATCTAGATGCAAGGCTATTGTGTAATTGGTTATAGCCTATTCAAACGCAGTTGGTTCTTCAGGCAACAAGGCGGCTGAGAAGAAAGAGGCGTTGTTGGAAAACATTGCTGGCAGCGTGTCAATCCTATATGAGAGTACTAATGGACAAGACAAATTTGGTTGCTAATGATGTCTCCATTTCATACGTTCTCCGTCCAAAATTAATTGTCCTCTATGACTTTGATGCCTATTTCTCTATCACAGGTGCCTCAACTTTCAATAAAATTTGCACCAACATTACGTTTTTGTTTTGGGAGTATACGGTCAAAATCTCAGGTCAATCCGTTAAGTATTGATGATTTGGCAGCACTTTGTAATAGGGTCCTCCCGCCAGAAACCAACCCGTTTTCCAACAAAATCACCGAATCAACCGTTTTTCGCGATGGTGAAGAGCACGACTTTGCGGCGGCCAAACAGGACCGCCCATGCAAAATTATCCATGCCATTTGGACAGAAGCTTGGAGGGGTTCCCTGTGAAGAAACAAGCAGTAGAAAACGTGTCTTGGTGGGCTTGATCGTGGAAGTCGTTGCAGCTTCGCTGGCCTAATTCGAGATCGATTGGCCAGTTCGGAGATGCATTCCTGGCCCAGATTTCTGGACCATGACCTTTGAAGCTCCATTGTTACTGTGAGAGATATTGCACAAGGCCTCCCAAGCCCCTCGAAGACGTGCGAAGGAATGTGATGGCCATCACCATAATCAACAGCAGAAGATTGGGGGAATGGCTTCCAAGGCAGGATGGCAAAGTCAACCCTTGCCTCGACAATTGAAAAGGTGGGAACGTGAAGCAAACGGCCAAGTAGATCATTTTGTGTCTCTCTCACAAATAGAGACTAT